CTCTAGGCAATCCCCCCCCCCCCCTCCCCTCCCTCCCAGTACGGCACAGCTATTCAGCAGTTCGCTGTGCAGGGACCGATCCAGTCCTTCACCGATCGGGGTGGTGTAGAATCTGGAACGAGTAGAAAACCGGACCGTTCCCCATACGACTGTAATAAGCAAGATATCAAGCGCGATATGCGATCGATTTTCACGTGGAATGAATCGTTGTGGGTTGAATTCCATGTCGTTTCATTTTCACTACGACGTACCGGAGCTCCAATCAGGAGCCCTTTTTTTTTCTCCCCTTCCAGCAATTGGAAAAAAAAAGTTTCACATACATGAAAACAATAGCGGAAACTGAAATCATTCTCAGAGAGGGTGCTTCCCCACACTCTTAGAAAAGAGTTAGCTATTTTACTTCCTAATAACGAGGGGGTAAAATCACTAGAGATCGACCGATATATCGGTAGATCTCTTTAATAAATTATGTGATGTAGAGAACGGCCTTTGTGGATTCGGAGTGTTTCTCTTGCCCAACGAGTTCCGAAACCAAATTTCAAGGATATATCTCCACTTCTTGGTGTCATGAATTTTTTTTTTTGAGATCAGATGTCATCGGGTGAGCATAAGCCCCGAGGAAAACTAAATATTTTAAAAACTTCAGTAGGCGAGCATTAGAAATATCGTGGTCGAACAGGGGAGAGTCTTTAGGACATGTTTAGGCCTACGCTCACGCTACGGTTTAGCCTACGTTTTAGACCTGGATAAATGGGAGGGTTAACGTAAGGCAGCAGGCCAAAAATGATAAACGAGGGCTGTTCGTTTAATTTGCGGACACGGGGAGGGGATTCCTGCCCTTGCCCAACCGTGTCCGCAAATTAAATGAACAATCCTCGTACTTTCGGACGACCATCAGCGAAACCTAACCCTTAGGGCAAATGTCTATCGTTTTAGCCGTTGAAGTTCCCGTAGCCGTGAATACGCCTAACTTCTATGTACGAGAATAAGAACGGAAGCAGAGCGAAAGACTTGCAGTTCCTCGCCTCTCCATGATGCCGTATTGGCCGGAACACTCATACGAGAGATCGACCGATATATCGGTCGATCTCTAAAAATCACTGAGTAGTCTTTTCTGAGAAGAAAGCCTCTCTCTTTTTCAAAGCACGAATCGAAGAAGGGGGAGGAATTCTTTCCAAACTCGTAGAAAAAAAATGCAAACTTATTCCCGGGAAAGAGAGTAGTTAGCGATTGTATTTCTGCGCTTTTAGGGAGTAAAATCGCTAACTCCAGTTTTACTCCCTTCGAGCAAAATTACTCACTCTTTTCTAAGGGAGCAGTTCCCCCCACTTTCCTTCCTGCCGCCTTTTTCATTTTAAACTGTATTGAAACCCGGGGATTCGTTTCACTAACCAGGTTTTAAAATATAAAGCCAATGGGAAAAGTAAATAGTCTACCTCAGGAATATTTTTTTATTTTCAAATATAAAAAAAAAAATTCCGAACCTGCGGGTAGAGGGGACAGTTGCTCCCCCCCACCCCTCGCTGCTAGTGGGATAGTCATTTTCAATATCGTCTTTGAAACTCAGGATGTCGAATCTCCAGGAAATAGCGCCAGTTTATTTAATTATCCAAGGTTTTGGATCAAATTGGATTTAATCGATTAATTGAGAGTCATTTAATCTATTAATCGAAATTTAATTGATCCCTTAGTTTCTCTTTGAGGCTTCTGATTCTGATTGTGTCATGCCCAACACCTAGGCGAGTCTCAGGAAGTGACTCAAGTCGATGCTGTCGCTAACATAGCTGTTACTATCCATACATACACTAGTTCAACCAATATGTGACACATTCCAATCGGAGAGAGAATAATTACAACTTAGCTAGATAAATAATGAAACGTTAGCAATGATGTCCTTTGCCATTTAGCCAAGGCATACCGGAAGGATGCAAAAATATAACTTAAATGATTGGAGGTACATAGTGACACTTCATTACGTCAAGATTCAGAAATTCCTTATCGATTCATGTGCAACACAGGATGGAAGAGCAGAAGGAGAAGAAAAGCAAGGAATAGTAGAAAGTTTCACACATTCCTTTCCACTACTCTCGCCTGCTTTCGGCTTTCCTCCTCTCCCGGTTACTTTCCCGGTACTCCCAGACCTTCGTCGGCGCACTTACGCATAAGTCTCTCACTCCCCAGTCTTTACACTATCCTCTCTCCTGCCTCTCCTGTCCCATGTCAGTGTCCAAATCCCCTATTCCTTCCTCGCGTTCCCTCGTAGCTTCTTCATTACAACTTTCTCTTCCCCATTCGTATCCAGTGACTTTGACCTCGGATTCTGCTACCATAACATGACAAGCGAGGCCTTTCTCGGCCGTAGGGTAGGCGGAAGGACACAGGATGCATACCATTATGCTTGCGGATACGAATGGATCAGGAAGCTTCAGTTTGAAACGAGAGCGAAGGCTTTGTTATTGTGTGTTCCCTTTTTCCAAAAATAGTAAGTCATTTTTGAGGAAGAGCGAGCAGGGCGAAAACGACTGCCTTTTCAGCCGTCATAACATTTCACCCCCTTGATAAAGCATTCGTTTTCGGTTGTTTTGCAAACCTACGAACTACACAGTCAAATTTTAAGGGGTAAAAGAGGCATTCAGGGGAGGATTGGGGGGTCGATCAAAATTCGATTAATTTCGAATAATTTTCTAAATCGCGATAAATACTTTAATTGATTAATCGCTCGATTGACAGTCCTATTATTATTATATAGATAGATAAGACAAGGGAGCAAAGGAATGAGGCAGATTTTTGCCAAGATGCAACATATGACAAGGTGGTCATATGAGCGTCATGCATGAAAAACTGGTCAGCATTTCCCAATTCCTAGGGCATCCAACGGTTAGGTAGTCGAACGTTCCAACTACGAGCCAAATCGTCGTTGGATCACCTTCAACCTGACGAACGTCTCTCTTCACCACCTCTTTCGTGGTTTAGCCTATAGACGTCGCAATATCCGGCCATCACGAGCATGTTAGAAGCTCTATTCGAAGTGGCCTTGGTATACGATAAATGTTCCACTGTCGAAAGGTCGTTATTTCCTCTTCCTCCTCTCCCTTCGTGGACTGGTAGCTTCAAGGGCGTCCGACTCGAGGAAGCCATTACGCGAGCAAGACGAATAATCGGAGAGGAAACGACGACGATAATGGGAACGGACACCCCGTCCTTGTCCATCCTGTGATCTCGTGCAAAAGGAAATGCGACCCAATGTCTGGGATTTCCCCTTTGTATTCCAGTTTGTTGCACCACAAAGCTCCATGTTACGCTCCACCGTCTACTTCTGATAAGGCCGTCACAGCAGCGAGACGAATTATAGAAAGAGAAACAATGGGAATATCGGGAATAAACATCTCATCGTTATCCATCTTCGAACTCGTGCAGGAGAAAACATGCCACACCTTCTTTTAACTTATTCCCCTCTGCTTTGGTGTCTATAGGTGGATCTTGGGGGTCGAAGGGCAGATCTCCTTTCCAGGTCAAGTTCAACCTCCGAGAAGCCCTGCTGTCTTTCCGCCTCGACCCCAACCCCCGTCTCAGCCCCAAACCCCCTTACAACCCCAAAATCCGGCCACCTCCGAATTGTCATGTACGACTCAGAATGGGTTGCCAGGATTCTGCGCTTTACCTGTCTCCTGCTCTGCCTTCTATCTCCAATCGTCCGAATGTGCCTTGGGGAATGGGATCCCAGGAATTTGCTGTCCTCAGCAATCATCTAATCCCACGGGTATGAACCATCTCCCCGATAATCCACATTCCATCGATCGCCTGGATAGCGACACCACCTTCATAATGCAGGTAGCGGAGTGGTGATTCGGGAGCTGCAACGAGTCGTTCCCATCCAAGACTTCTCCGGTAACCAATTGGAGGCAGCAGGGAATTTTGGTCTCGGGATGGTGGCAGGTATCGACCAAATTTCCACGAGATTGCTGGATCAAGGGAAAATCGCGGAGCCTCGGACTCCAGCCGGCTACCATCAGAATTTCTTCCAGACAGACAGAAAAGCCATTCAATTAGCCAAGGATGCCATGGTCGGCGTGGAAACGGCCCGGAATCTCTCCCGACAGTAAGTTTGTAGAACGGGGAGTTGATATCTAGTAATTTTCTCTCACAAATGTACTCCTTTATAGGTTGACTATGAATCCCAAGAACATTTGAAGTCGTGACGGAATGCACGATCAATGTCTTACAGGATTCGCATGGAATTTGATCGCTTTTCCCGTCACCACTACGTTTCTTCCAGATTTTATTCTTTACTAGTGGCGTTACCTATACAAGCTTCCAGCTGGGATAAGAGATCTTTGAGGAATTTTCCCCTACTTTCTAATTTCATACCTTTTATTTCATCCTTTCCAGGAAGCATTTAGGTGCTAACAAGGACTTACACTCCGAAACGCCTCCAGCATTGTTTGCTGGTATGGCATGTCCATTCACTATAGCAGTCATTGAATGCGGGAAAGGGAATAGTTGAAAGGGGAGGGGGAGAGGGAGGAAATTGGGAATGTTTCATTCACATGAACTCAACCAAAAAGTGGCATCTCGTCTTTAAAAAATGGTATCCGAAGCTTAGGCAACAACAGCATGTTTTCTGCAACAACAAAAAAAATTTGGATTCAGGAATGCGAAAAAGAGTCATGATCATTCTGAACGAATGAACGATTCTTGTACTCTGCTGCATAGATACAATCTGAACCCGGAGCAGGCAGCGTTTGGTCTGCAGAAATTCACAATGTTGAGGACGTCGGCGTCCGGCAGATGTCCCGTACCACCGCAGTGTAACCCCGGTTACAGATATCGTTCAGCCGATGGTTCCTGCAATAATCTTCAGGTCTCCCAATGGGGACAATCACGGACTCCTATGCAACGCCTTCTANCGGTCGGAGTCTTCTCCCTCTCCAAACGGAAAGAGGAGACGATTGCACGGAACCCCATCGGGGGATACATTGCTTTGCTGCCGGTGAGTTCTTAGGTGTGGGGTTCAAGTCTTGGACACATTCAACAGCGGTGTGTGTATCAACAGGGGACACGAGAGTGAACGAGATGGCAAGCCTGGCCGTCATCCACACGATCTTCTTCCGACAGCACAATCGGATCGCCGGAGAACTCCAGCGACTGAATCCCACTTGGAATGACGAGAGATTATATCAAGAAGCCCGAAGGATCGTGGGGGCTCAAATTCAACACATCACCTATAACGAATGGCTACCAGTTGTCCTCGGTACATTCCGCACCCGATCTGTAGTTATTACCTTAATCCGGTAATCATAATCACTGGAAAGCCTAACCTTTACGTACAAAAACAGTAGCCTACACAGCAAATAAAGGTGAGTGTAGGATGTGCAATGGTTGAAAAATGGGTGTGCATGCACTTGGAGGCGTGCTTTCAACTCCGCGTTCATTCCCTCCCTAAGAGGCATCCATAGCACTATTAAGGGTGTGCAAGCTCTCCTTGTTATCGGGTGGATGCATGTGAGCGCCATTGGGGTATGCATTAGTCCTTTCAGCTGAAAGTCATGAGTCATCCTCACCCTGCTTTCCTCACCCCTGCCGGAGGGATGAACTCCTCGGGCTAATCTCACCCCAGGGGATGCTCTGGCTTAACTAAAAAAACGGTCGGATTAAGGTTTTAGGATCCTCCAGGCATAACACGCCTTGGCCCAAACTTGCAAAGGCGGAGGTGTAACTGAAGATTAAATCTTGTCTTCTCCTTATCTCGTTTTGCATCATATCCAGAGGCCTGGTTTACAGCTCATGCATTGTTCGCCTATTCAGTAATCCAATATGGATGTTATCCTACTGTCCTTTTGCTTTCGTTAGGCGAAGCAGCTGGATATTCATGTAGAGGTGAAGTTACCATTACCGATGTAAGATGGCACCTCAGTCGCCAACCCAGTGGGTCGCCTCTAAATAAACTAAGCCACGCCTCTGAGATTTCATACAGAGTACCTGATTTTTTTTTTTTTCTCGATACAGCAAAGCGTAATACATTAGAATCCCACGATATTATTAACTAAAGATCAAGGTCTGCCCAGGGAGACGTCTGGCATTACTGGCCCTAAAGAAGGAAGAATAGAGAGAATCAGGACAAACACACGAACGATGGTTTCAAAATTAGATTTTGGTAGCAGCTCGCTATGAGTTCACTGCCTTTCCATGCCCCAGCTGCCGGGGGTAGAACTCCCGGCAGCTAGAACTGCCTTTTTCAAGGCTTCCCAGTACCTGGTT